AGTGCAAGACTGCAGAGGCTTGAAGTCCAATGAGCAGGAAGCCTTTCATTTAACCCCAAACATTAGCAGTTTTGCACTATTGCTCTGTGGAAAGAATTGCCTGATTTTTAAATTTCCCCTCCCCCAATTCCTTGCCAGGCCCCAGCTTGTAAAAACAGTGTTGTCTTGTAAACACTTCTGTGCAATGCTCTTCTTTTGCTATGGTTGCCAGCTCTGGGTTGGGAAATACCTGGAGGTTTGGGAGGTGGAGTCTGAGGAGGGTGGGGTTTGGGGATTGAAGGGACTTCAGTGGAGTATAATGCCATAGGTTCCTCCTTCTAAAGTGGCCATTTTCTCCAGGTGAACTGGTTTCTGTTACCTGGCTGGAGATCAGTTGTAATCCCAGGAGATCTCCAGCTACCACCTGGAGTTGGCAAGCCTGTCTGTTGCTCCCGTTCTTTGCTTTGTCTCCCAACAATGTGGATCAACTTGTTTGAGTGCTCCGGGGTGTACTGCATTGGGTTCCCATGCAGGGGGTTAAACTCCCCCTTCAGGTTTCTCTGTATCAGGTGATTCTGAATGAGTGAAAACAAATAACAGTTAAAAGACGTCTGACTCTCTCACTGTAGCCCCCTGCAGAATCACTACAGCAGCTGGTGCAGTGCCAAGAAGATGCAGCAGGGGCTCTCCAGGAGACCACTACGTGTAAAATAGCAGCTCAGCAGATGGAGGCAGCTCTTCTCACCACAGCTGCTGCTTGGCAGATCCGCAAGGTGATATTCTTCTGTGAAGTCCTCGGCAAGCGTGGCCAAATCTTAAAAGTGCTTTATCCTTAAGATCCCCTGGCATATGGCAACCAAACAGCCTTTTGCAGAGTTTTTTCCTTGCTCCTACAGGTTGGGAAGAGAAATTCTGTTCCCTTTTTGAGAGAGGAAATTGGGGGAATCACTTTCCACAATGAGTTAATGTACTGCTGTTTAATATGCTGGACAGTGAGGTGGAGGATGTTTCTCCATCCTAAGGAACCTTCCTCCAACTTAGAACTGGTTAAGTTGGAGAAGTCTCCTTAGTCTGGAGGAAAGCTTCAGATTTTGCTTAGTAGAGTGATAGGTATTGATATGTCTGGAATAGGGTAGTTTTAGGGGCTAGTTTAGAAAAACCATTTTCTAGTATACTGCTATGGTAAAAGTTTGGGGAATGCCACACTGAAGGGTCTTTGTTTTAAAGCAAAAAATTGTACAGGTGATTGACCACTGGAATGTTAGTAGTATAGGTAACTTTGCAAGCAGGGTACAAGTTAGAGAAAATTTGCTGAACTGGCACGCTGAATGCAGTTTCTAAGTTACGGATGTCATTCCTCAGTTGGGGACAGAGGATCCCCCCATTTTCAGGACTCTTCCCCATCCCCAAATACAGAAGTGACATTATCACGTTGGTGACACTGGTATTTTGGGCAAAACTCTATGATGTCACTTCTGCATGATGTCATTACGTCGCACGCATGTCGCGCGCTCCTCCCCACTCCCAGAAAGTCCCTCCCTGACTGCCGGGTCAAACCAACCTGGCAACCCTATTCTAAGTATTTCTGTGTTTTGAAAAGGTGCTCTTAAAGAATCTCTTAACCTTGCTCATTTAGTGTTATGCTAAGAATCTAATTATTCAGATAACATGACAATCTGTTTGTGTGGTTGTCGCTTATACTAGAATTAGGCCTCAGAATAAGGGGGTTATACGCTATCACTAGGAAGGGTTGCTGGCCAGGAGCTGGCAGCAGTGTTCCCTCTAAGCCGAGTCGGTGTGAGCTAGCTCACAGTTCTTTAGCCTCCGGCTCACACATTTTTGTCTTAGCTCAGGAAGGAGGGCTCCAGAGCAAACTCATTTAAGCAGCAGCCAAATCGCTCACTCACAACTTTAATACCGGTAGCTCACAAAGTAGAATTGTTGCTCACGAGATTCCATAGCTTAGAGGGAACATTGGCTGGCAGCCATCAAGATTCGGGGGGGGGGGCAGGGACATGGGGTAGCACTGTTGGCCCACAGCGTGAACGCCTTCTGGGGAAAACCCAGAAGTGACGTCACACCTTTCTAGGAGCTGTTCAAAACTATTTGATATGGAGAAAGCAACGGATATAGTGAAATCAACAGATACTGATGCTGGATATAGTGAATTCTCTATTATATGGTTACCAATTTTTTCATATCTTATCTCTCAAGAAGAAATACCAGATGTAATGAATAGTCTTCATTTCTGGTACCTGATTGTTTTGAGAACAACTAGTGGTTGACCTACAATTAGTTAAAACATCTATGCAAATCTGTTCAGACCAGGGTGAGCCGTAGTACATTTTCAAGAGCCTCAACTTAGCTGAGAAAGCAAAAACCATAGAGTTACCAGCAATTCTTAGAGCAGGCTGGTGTTACTTCTGGGTGGTTTTCCCCCCCCCCCCCCATTATTTTCTCCTGTTAACTACAGGAGCAGCAGCAGGTAACAGGCAAGCTTATCACTAGTTAGAGTTAAAAAATGAATATCTGGTAACTTCGCAAAGGCTAAATCATGAAATATAGTCTGATGTTTGTGAAACTTATTTCTCACCATACCCGTTTATTCAGCTGACAGAGATAGCATGTGCCCAGAACCCAGACGCAGTCACTATTCCTGCAAATCCAGTCCCATTGCCATTGGACCAAAAGCAGAAGCGTCGTTCAACAGTCATAAAGAAAGTAAAAGCTCGTTCTGATATAAGCAGGTATTTTAATGGAGCTTTCAAGTTCCAAAGACAGAATATGGTGGTTGTTTTCTCAGTTCCTAAGAAAAAGCAGTGAGTGGTTTTTATTTTTATTTTTTTTAAATAAAGTTGCTTTTGCAGTAGTTGTCCTTCTAATGGATTGGTACTAGACCTCACCAGTCAGGCATCCATTTATCTTCTCTGTCTGCTGCACACTGTAGAGGGAAACCACCATTGCCTCTTGCTTGTCATGTTATAATTCAAGCAGCTGCAGTCTAGGAAGCAGTGTGAGTTTCCGCCTACATCTTCCCCCCCCACCATTCCTGACTTCCAGGGTTGGAAAGGGAAGCCTCCTAATGGTTAGTGCCTTGCCAAATCAGAATCCTCCCTCTGTCTAATAGGAAACTTTCCTTACCTCTACATCAAAATTGTCCTGTGACACAAGGTAAGGTTCAGGAATCCACCCCTGCATTCTCACTGGTAGAAAACACGCCAGGTTAAGGCAATTTCCTGCAAAACGCTGTTTATAATATTTCGCCGACTATTCCTCATTCGTTTATCTGACTTTAAGTAGCTTGTCCTTTAGGATTTAGTTCTTCATGTACCCAGATCTGTCAACTGGAACAAACTTCTGATGTTTGGTTTATTCAAGCTTCCTTGTTTTTAATAGGAAAACAGAATCTGTTACCCCTTCGCAAAATAAAGAGACAGGTGACTCAAAGCAGACTTACTCTCCTTCATTTGATAGTTGTTCAGAATCATCAAGATCAAAGGCACATGATGAGAGGTGAGGAGCTAAATATAAAGAGTTGGTTATAAATGCAACAAAGGAAGACTGTAGGCAATACATGACGCAGGAAACACGGGTTAGTCTTTACGCTGCCCTTCCTTAGCTGGTTGAAAGAATATATTCAGTCTCTCTGGTCTCTCCTTTCCTTATTTCATAACTATATATCATTTTGCAAAGAAAGCCAGCTTTGGAAATCTTTCAGGGCACTTTCTATGGCTGTTAAGGAACAAATGAAATATAAAACACACAACTTTCCAGAACACGTTGGGATTTGTATCCCACCACTCTGCTCAGGTAAGGGTGTTGCACTCCTTTGGAGTAAGGAGCCTTCTCCTGATGCATGAAGCTCTTTCAGTGGCAGAATGCCCCTTGAACTGATGGAACACACCCCCATTCATTGAGCAGAATGGTAAGGTTCGATCCAGTGAGTTTTGAAAGATTATGCCCCCGCTCAAAACTCTTGAGTTGCTGGAAGAAAGAACCTTGAGATAAGCACAGGCTATCATCTTTGAAATCTCTGTAATAACTGGCTGTGAAAGCTTTGGTTTGAGTTAAAAGAAATGAACCCTTCTTAGCTATTCTTTCAGCTGCTGTTATAGAATGCTTTTTGAACATTCCAACGTGATGTGTAAACTGTCCTTTTTCAGATTGTCATTTCATTTGATTACAAACTGCAAGCAGCATCATTGAGCAGTTGAAAAAGAACACTCACTTTATATCGGGTGTTCTACATGCACATTCTTTCACTGCCAGTTGCGGGTTCATGAACAGGGGATGACATGTTGCCTAGGCAACTGTCCTGCTTAGGTAGAGTTAAATCAGGCAGATAAGCAGATAACAGGAGTTGGTTATCAGAGGCCAGGATGCCAGCGTTTAATAAACAGAGTCCGTAAATTGTACAAGAGTTGTCTTAGCAGGCCAAGGTCGGTTTTCCGAAAAGCAAGACTGATACAGCAGCAGCGGGTCAGTGTCTAAGGGAACACGTTGATGCCACACTGAAGGGCTCCTCCCCCATACTTTTATATGCTTCAAGCCCTACGTCATACCTGCGACAGCTGCTTCACGGTCTCCTCTGGTGATGATTCTCCTTCCCCTGCAACTGATTGCCGGTGCTGAGCTCTGAGGCATGCTGATCAGCACTGGGACTGTAAATCCTCTCTACACCTGCACCAACGTTGTTCTTGTGGACCTGGGGATCCTGGAGGAGATAGGGCAGCTGGCTGACTCTGAATTGTCAGCTCTGGGTGGGGGGATGAAACACATATGTCACAGCCTCCCGTGATTCCTCATCTGATTGCTCAGCTGCAGCTGGTGGTGTTCTTCATCAGAGGAGTCAGAGCTGTCTCCAGGGCCTGGCTGTTCCACAGCAGCAACTATGCAGTGCTTTCTGCATTTCATGCACTATGATTTCTTGCACCCATTCTGAGCATGTGTGAAAGCAGCTACTAGCCAGCTGCTTGGTGTGGTAATGAATGCAGCTGACTACAGAGATACAAAAATTGTACATACACTCCAATTAGAAAACGTTCCAGTTGCAATTTATCAGCAATTGGAGAGTACTGGGTATCCACTCAAGAAAATTGGCCATTACGGGCAGGGTAACTTTGATTTTTCTAGTGCATTATCACCCTCTTCGAACAACCTAAGAGGTAACTGTATACATGGACACCACCAGATGGGCAACACCGAAATCAGATTGATTATATCATTTGCAGTCAAAGATGGAGAGGCTCTATACTGTCAGTAAAAACAAGACCTGGAGCTGCCTGTGGCTCAGGTCATGAGCCACTCATTGCAAAATTCAGTCTTAAACTGAAGAAAGTTGGGAAAACCACTAGGCCATTCAGGTTAGACCTAGATCACATCCCTGATGAATATACAGTGGAGGTGAAGAATAGGTTTAAGGGGCTAGATTTGATAGAGTGCCTGAAGAACTATGGACAGAGAGGTTCGTGACATTGTACAGGAGGCAGCAATCAGCACCATCCCAAAGAAAAAGAAATGCAAGAAAGCGAAGTGGCTATCTGATGAGGCTTTACAAATAGCTGAAGAAAGAAGGAAAGCAAAAGGCAAAGGTGAAAAGGAAAGATTTACCGAACTGAAAGCAGATTTCCAGAAAACAGCAAGGACAGATAAGGAGGCCTTCCTGAATGAACAATGCAAAGTAATAGAGGAAAACAATAGAATGAGAAGGACTAGAGATCTCTTCAAGAATATTGGAGAAATCAAGGGAATGTTTTGCGCAAAGCTGGCCATGATAAAGGACAAAAACAGTAGGGTCCTAACAGAAGCAAAAGAGATTAGGAAGTGGTGGCAAGAATACACAGAAGAATTATACAAGAAGGGTCTCAATGTCCCTGACAACCACAACGGTGTGATAGCTGATCTTGAGCCGGACATCCTGGAGTGCGAAGTCAAATGGGCCTTTGAAAGCATTACTAACAACAAAGCTAGTGGAGGTGATGGTATCCAAGCTGAGCTATTCAAAGTCCTAAAAGATGATGCTGTTAAAGTGCTGCACTCCATATGCCAGCAAATTTGGAAAACACAACAGTGGCCACAGGATTGGAAAAGGTCAGTTTACATTCCAATCCCAATGAAGGAATGTTCAAGCTATCACACAATTGTGCTCATTTTGCACACAAGCTAGGCTTCAGCAATATGTGCAGAACTGCCAGAAGTACAAGCTGGGTTTTGAAGAGGCAGAGGAATGAGAGATCAAATTGCCAACATTTGCTGGATTATGGAGAAAGCAAGAGAGTACCAGAAAAACATCTACTTCTGCTTCATTGACTACACTAAAGCCTTTGATTGTGTGGATCACAACAAACTATGGCAAATCCTTAAAGAGATAAGAGC